GGGGGGGGGGATCATTGAGTGAGTGGGGGAATTAAAACAGTGATTAAAAAATCAAAGCTTTGGGACATTAATAAAGGTCTCTCCCAGAAGATAATTATTACTATCCCCGTTCGGATTTTTCTTTTTAAAAAAATGCTGTCCCTTTATTTCAAGCGACTTTCTATTTCTTCTCCAAAATGAAAGGAAGACTTAGTGGACATATCTTTGCAGACAGGGGGGGGGGGGATTGTGCTCCAAACAAATCCTGCGCTGAAGACTGTGGCGTAAGAGGAAAGGGTCAATGAGTTTGATCGCTGACTACGTCGGATGAAATGAGAGCACTGAAATCAACGGTTGTTAAGTTGATTAGAAAACATTCTTTTCTCTAGGTACTCATATAATTTCATGTCTGTAAGATAAAAATGTTGATTTTTACAAAGCAGAGAAATCTTTCATCTAGAACAGACCTCGCACATACTTGCAAGGAGATAATAATATATTGAATAAAATAAAAAAGAAATATAAAAATCGCCAATTTTTTATTTACCTTTTATATGATATCTTGGTACACACGATAATATTGAGACACGTTCGTGTCTAATAACAAAGAGAAACAGATGTAATTATGGAGGTTTATTTCTTTGATTTCAGGTCGGATGGTAGAATTTACGCAGACAACTTTGACAGCATATTGAGAAAAGCGATGATACCAGGTTCAAATGATGTTGAAGGGACATAACTTTCATGATCTTAGCTAAGACAAGTTATCTACCTTTAAGAAAAAAATCTCTCACTTGTATTGAGAAGAGTAGAAGAGCATCTTCCACAATATGAGCATATTGTTTCTGCGTATGATCATGCATCTTAGATATAGTCGAGGACAACATTTTTCTTCATAACTCTTTCTGATCGCTTTTAGCTGGAGAAGAACGAGACGACACGACTGTGGCGTGTATAGGCTACCCTTGTTTCGCTTCCCATCTGCCGACCCCACCCCACACCCCCACCCCCCCAACACAACACAACCCGCCCACCTCCCTGGTCTCGAGTGCTCCGACCAACATCTCCCAGACACGTCCTCCATCATTATTGCGTCGACCTTTTCCCTACAAGGCCACTAGCCAGTTCATCGAAAGGTCGCTTGACCGCTTTGTTCTCTGACCTCTTTCCCACCAACCCACTGGACAATTCATCAAACGGCCGTTTTCCGACCAACCCAGATCCTAGCTCATCAAAGGGTCGTTTGCCAACAAGTCCGCTTGACAGTTCTCCAAACGGTCGCCTTTTGCCCACAAGCCCACTAGCCAGCTCGCTGAAAGGCCTGCGTTTGCCAATGAAGCCACTCCCTAGTTCGTCAAACGGTCTTTTCCCGATGAAACCGCTACCAATCTCATCAAAAGGTCTCTTCCCAATAAAACCGCTACCAATCTCATCAAAAGGTCTCTTTCCGATAAACCCACTTCCCAATTCATCAAAAGGTCTCTTTCCGATAAACCCACTTCCCAATTCATCAAAAGGTCTCTTTCCGATAAACCCGCTTCCCAATTCATCAAAAGGTCTCTTTCCAATAAACCCACTTCCTAATTCATCAAAAGGTCTTTTTCCAATAAAACCACTACCAATCTCATCAAAAGGTCTTTTCCCAATAAACCCACTTCCCAATTCATCAAAAGGTCTTTTTCCAATAAAACCACTTCCCAATTCATCAAAAGGTCTTTTACCGATAAAACCGCTACCAATCTCATCAAAAGGTCTTTTTCCAATAAAACCGCTACCAATCTCATCAAAAGGTCTTTTTCCAATAAACCCACTTCCCAATTCATCAAAAGGTCTTTTTCCAATAAAACCACTTCCCAATTCATCAAAAGGTCTTTTTCCAATAAAACCACTACCAATCTCATCAAAAGGTCTTTTTCCAATAAAACCGCTACCAATCTCATCAAAAGGTCTTTTTCCAATAAACCCGCTCCCCAACTCATCAAAAGGTCTCTTGGCTTTGGCCTTCTCCTTCTCCTGAGTCTCTAGCTTGGCGTCCACTGATCGCTTCCCGACGAGTCCGCTGGCCAGCTCGTCAAAAGGCCTCTTGTTGAAGTAGCGGCGGAAGCTGTTGAACCCCAGCCTGTTGCGACGAGCCCAGATGCTTCTCTTCTCCACATGGCCCTCCTCGCCACTCTCCTCGTCGTCTGTGG